AAATAATATTAATCCTATTTACGATTCTCGAGATACTGTGGTTGATCCATTAAACACCGTTTCTATGTCGGATGATCAAAAAAACATTAAGGGATTTAATTATCAAAGTGTAATTGATTCTAGAACTATAAAAAGACAATCTGGTGTTCTAGAGAATCCAACAAAAGACCGTCCCTGTCCTCCAAGAACACGCCCACCTTCGTTATCTCCTATAAAATTGTCTAATACTCCTAATTTTGCAACTAATGGCTCTCCACCTGATTCGATTTCTCGAGATTCATTCCAAAATCTTGCACCGATGTTATCTTCTTTTTCTTCAAGACAACCTTCTCCTACTTTTAATACTTTTAATACCTCTGATGATGGCGATAATGATAATGATATTCATTCTCTTTCTCGTTCTCCATTGGATAGATTATCTGATAATCTTTTGCGTATATCACAATTTTCAATTGGAAAATCTGTAACTATCCCTCTAAACAGTCCTGAGAATGAAAATTTACCACTTAATAATTCATCATTGAGAGAATCTTCGATAACTGAAAGAAGTTTGAGTAGTTATCGATCTTCTGACTCAAACACTATATACCCTTCAGATTACAATGATTATAATAATTACGAAGATCCACAAGGCAAATCTTTGATAAATAACCCGATTTCTATGACTTCCGAGCAGTCAAGTAATTCTTTTTATTATAGTGATTCAAATACTTTAACGCCTCAACATATGAATAGTATTAGTAGTAGTATTTATTTACCTCTTAATGTAACAGACACTTCGGATTCAAATGTAGACATGCAGCAGGTTGTCTCTGATCAATATACGATAGAAGATGATAAGGTTGAACAACCATCTAATGATGTTAACGTACGGATCGGGTTTGCCAAACAACAAGCGGCACCGCTTTACACATCAGATGTTAATTATGTAAAACCAATTATGATACAACTTGGAGGCAAGGCTTCAACAGGATCCCAAAAACTTAATACTTCTTATGAACTACCCGTAAAACGCACATTACGATCGGTGGCACCACCAAAACCACAACCACCTCCACTATCACTTACTGATACTTTAATAGCGTCAGGGCAAAGTGATATTGCACATCAAGTTATGGTAATGAGAAGAGTACAAAATGCTAATGAAAGTTT